ACAGGAGTGAAGTAATCCGGCACGAGCCAATCGGATGATAGGTGGGTGATATATGAGGGCGGAATTGGCATCATCAAGTCTGATTTCAAACCGGGTAGAGCCAAGTATGTACCCACAGGCGTAGCCACTGGGGGGGGGGGGGTGGCACGTGCCCCCCCCCCAATGACCGGATCGAAATCCTTAATTTCGATTGGATTATTGGGGTTTATTAGTAATAAACCGGCATTCTGCGACCCCCACTGCCACTTTGTAGCATATTATTACGTGCCAGGGATCCTATGAGATGATAGGACAATAGTCTGAGTCCATAATTGGCAATAAGTAACGGCAAAGCAGTTATATAAGCGACTCAGAATTGTGCGCCGTTGCGTATACAGCACACGACTTCCCTGAAGGCATTCACCTTCAGCGAGCGCGATGCCGATCGCACAACGCGGTTCGAATTCGACCCTCGATCGATGGCTGCGCCATCGCCGCACACGCGTCGAATAAAAAGCAAGGGACAAGCCCTTACATACTAACAACTCCCATCATTCTTCATTGCTGGAGGAGTTGCCCCCGCTACCTGAAAATCCTGGCTCCGCCATTGCATGTACCTGCTTTCAGTAGGAAATTACTGAACAAAGACTTTTGCATTTAAAGGCTCACAATTGGAAGTACCTCTGTCGGTTCTACTTCAAGACATCCAGCCGACTACGACTGCCGTGGTGGACAATCGGCGTGCCGTCACACACAGGCAACTACTGGGCTCATCCATGCTTAGCTTCCGAGAGATTCCACGGCGATTTGGTTGCAGGCAATGCGTTTGACATGAGGCCGGCCGAGGAGACAAAAGGAGACAAAGGCGTGGTGCTAACTAATATACCACTTGCCCATGGATCACATAGGTCTCGACTATAAAAACACAATGGGCTGGACGGATCATGTGTCAAGCAGCTGATATCTCAAACACACATTCCGTCCTTGGGGTGGGGCACTAGGGTAGGGGAGCGGTCAGGGTTGGGATAAAGGGGGCCATGAGGAATGGGGGTGGCAGGGGGAGTTAAGGGAGGAAGGGGGGGCGTCAATAACTCGCGTTCCTCGCCGCTGTCGCCACTCGCTCTGCCCTTTAACGGGAATTGGCTGCGACAATGGAGAGGGGCGCATTATATATTTAATTATAATCATATGAAAACGTTTCCAGTGTCGGGGGAGTGGTGAAGTGGATGGACGACAGGGCATCCCGGGTGAGCAGAAAGTCAAGTATGGGACGGTGAGGGCTGCATGCGGCAGGTTAGGGATGGTGAGAGGTGTACAGGGGTGAGTAATGATTAGGGCTACAGCTGTGAAGGGGGTAGTGGGGGGGGGTAGGAACGATTTCAGGGGGTGCGAAAATAGTGAGGGATGTTGTTAAGCGTGCGAGGGAGTTAAGGGATGGCGAGAGAGATCTGGCACACATATCTTCAACACAAAGTCTGCATTCCCCCATGCATTAGTCATACACTTTTATTACTATACACCTGCTCCTCCCCTCCCTTCACATATTCCACCCTCTGTCTAGCTTGCAGAGAACAATTGCCCACTCACGCTGCCCCTCGCGACGCACACACACAAACCATCATCCCTCACACAAAGACAACGATCCCCTATGTAGCCCTAACCCACTGTTGGGGTAAGTGCTGTTAGCGAGCACCTATGAAGGCCGGCGTCGTAGACGAGAGGGTGGGTGGCGAGCACTGCGCCCGGCCGCCTTTGTCTCTCTCGTGGTGATGATTACACACCGGACCAGTTAGTCATTTGGGGCTGAGTCGACATAGGGAAGACCCAGGACCGGTTCAAATATTCGCCACTGTTATTGGTCGTGAGTGGGAATCAAACTCGGGTCGCTGGGTTCGTAGCAAAACGCGCTAACCATTGCGCCACCCTCCAACATACAGACACACAAGCACATCAAGAAGATAGCCACACACAAAGGTAAAGATCCCCCATATAGCCGACATTGACGATTGAGCACATATGAATGCCAGCATTGTGCAGGAGGGTGTTGTGTGGAAAGCACCATGCCCGGCCTCCTTTGTCTCAACCTTGCTGATGTTTTACACACAGCATCAGATACTAATTTAAGGCTGAGTTTATCGAGGGGAGGTCCAGTACCAGATCAGATATCACTCACCACTAATGTTAGCTGTGAATGGAAATTGAACTCTGGCCAACGGATTCACAGCTAAATAAGCTGCTCACGACACTACAGCTCTTCATAAAGTGCAGGGACAAAGACATAGGCACAGATGCAAACACAAAGACAGACCGCACAAGGCATGCAGGAGTTAAGTGACATGTCTCACACCGTGTTCGTGAACATAAGGCAGATCTGAAACACGGTAGGACCAATACCTCGGCCGTGGCTGATCATTGTTTTAATGCGGTGGGCTCACACGAAATTGATTTTGCTCAGACTGGCTATCAACAAAGATTCGTTCTGATAATTGTTTTTTAACCCTTTTATCTGGCAACAAAACTGACACCATTTTTACAAGGAGTTATGTTTGCATTGACCACAATACCTGCGGTCGGAATGCAAACAAAAAAAACACAACTCTGATAATGTATGCACTGTCCTTGAAATTGATTGGTCCACACCCGAGACAGCTTTTCTTAGAGCCTAGTCATTATTAGTGTCACTAAGTCCCATCACATGCAGGTCACTTTTGAGAGTGAACATGGAAATTATCCTTTCAAGTCAGCGACTACAAAGACTTTTGAATGGTCTACCACAAATTTCGTGTGAGCCCACAACGATTAAAACAATGTTCAGCAATGTGCAGTGGTATTGGTCCTACCGTGTTTCAGATCTGCCTTGTGTTCACGTACGCGGTCCAAGACATGTCGTTTCGAGCACCTCCTCTGTCAGCCAGGGTCTCTGAGGAGGTCTGGACCGTGTACCCAAAGCAGCCATTGCAGCTGCATGAGCCACAGTCCTAAACCTCACCCATTTCCCCTCGACATCAGGAGGAGTGGGGGACGATAGGCTTCTGCTTAACATGTATACTGCTAACCTGCGGAAGAACCGCAGCGTCGAAGTACATATACACGACATGACATAGGTCTTGCAACATCCACGAAAAAAGTAGATGGATCAGTGAAGTTGTCAGCGTAGATATAGCTCGATTTGCTTCAGGAAGTGGTGGTTAAAGCTCAGGGGAGCTAAGTGTCAGCACGACCTTCCCTCTCATCCATGAGCGGGCAAATAAACACATTGAAGTGGGAGTAGGCAGATCTTCTGTCATGATCATTTCTCAAGCCCCTTGAGAATAGTAACACACGACGGGTGACTCACTTACCGCACTTACCTGGAAAACCTCAAGCGAAAGTTTCATGGCATGTTGTGGGGAAAGTTCTCTATCACACAGTCCTCATCTGCCTATGCACCAGATAAGAATTGCATAGCTATCTGGTGTCATAGTCACCACCCGCATTTGCTGGGCGTATTAAACACATTCTTGCGGAGGGAGCTGGTAGGAACGTTGGGTTGCTCGGTCAATGGCCAGGGTCAACGGCGGCGTAGTGTATTCCGCAAATATGGCCGACTGTGAGGGCGGGCACAAGCCGGCGTGAGTAGGTTAAACGTTCAGTTTTATAAGGGCACCACGGGGTGACCAGCCCCTCCCCACCTAGCCCCACCCCTCCCACCCCCACCCACCCCCACCCAGCCCCACCCTCCCCACCCAGCCCCTCCCTCCCTCCCCACCCAGCCCCTCGCTGCATGACGGAAGGACGGACACAATAATCCCCTGTGGGCTGGTGTAACCTGGCGGTTCCTACCAGTATTAACGTTCTTATGCATATTACTGATTGTTTCCCTTCTGGCTACATCAGCCTCCAACCTGCACATTGTGTCTGGTGTCTCTCCACCACAGCTGAAGCGCAACTTGTGGTCTGGCAGATGAGAAAGCCACAATATCGCTGCACTCAGATGCCCTGCTGTGCCAAGACATCTCTGACTGTCACGATACTCCGAGTGTCAACAATGCTGGATTAAAGGCTTTGTAACAGCAGCTCGTGGTCTTGTGGCTCATGACAGTAGAATTATCACATCAAATGCTAAGTATAGGAAGGAGCTTGCCCAATTGGCATGTTTATCAATAGTGGCAGAAAGCCTGGGACACAGATCACATTACTCCTCCACTACCCACAAGTCACGAGTGGATATGGGCAGTAGATATCCAAATTGTCTTGGACCGGGCTTAACAAACTCGTGACTATTGGGAGTTTTCGATTACGTTAATGCACCATCTCGATTTGTGTGCCGCCTTACACGTGACTGCAGAGCTGCCCATCAAATGCTGTCCACACTATTGAGGACTCTGTCGAAGTTAGATATGGCAAGCCTCGGTAACCTTGAAGATTGTGCGCGAGCGGTGCACGTGTGGTTGACACTAAACGAAATGCTGCTTAATCCAGAAACATCGGAGGTTCTGCTGGATGGTACTCGGCAAAACAGATGTTAGAGGATCAGGTGAGGCGGCCGCAGACAACAGGATTAAGTGTTCTACTCATTTAAAGAGCCTCGGCACCATACTCGACCAGAATGTCGTTTGATTACCACGTGCAAAAAATAGCCAGGTCCTGCAATTTTCATATCAGGGCTCAATGACACATTCGGCTACCATTGAGTTGTAACATAGCTAACATGATTTAAAGCTTTCGTGACTGCAGGGATTCATCTTCTTGGTTCTTTCGGTAAAGTCACGTAGAAGAGAAAAAATAAAATAATAAAAATAAAACATTATAAAATCTTTTTTATAGAAGGGAAATAATAAAATAATAATAAAACTGAATAAAAAATTTATGTTTTAATAAAATAATTTTTATTATGTTTTATTTTTTTTATTTTATTATTTCCCTTCTACGTGACTTTACCGAAAGAACCTAGAAGATAGCTAACATGGTGGCATTTGGCATAGTATCGACAAGGCTCGATTATTGCAACTCACTACTCTACGGGACGTCTGGGAAAAAAAAAACATTAGCAAGCTGCAGCATGTACAAAATTCTCTGGCACGTGTCGTGACGGGTACTGCAAGATCCGACCAGTGCCCGCCGGGCTGCAACGGTTGCCGAACGAATATATTATAAGATCGCACTCATTACACACAAAGTGCTTGCCGCAAATGAACCACAATATCTTGCTGATCTCGTCAAAGAACATAAACCACCAAATTAACTCTGGTCATCCTCGTAAGGGGCTTCTGGCAAGCCACTGAACAAAGGCGGTCACTGCATCGCCCGCTTTCAGATGTGCTTCTGCAGCGGTCTGGAATGCTATTCCTTCGGATATTAGGAAGCCAGATTTGAAGCTTTCGTGACTGCAACGATTCATACTCTTAGATTTTTTTCGGTAAAGTCACGTAGGTAAAAAAATAAAATTAATAGAAGTAATAATAGAAATAAAATAAAATAATAAATCACGACGTTTCGGAGGCAACACAAGTCTCCGTCATCAGGTGGGACCATCACAGATAGATTTACTGTATCAAGTGAGGCATAAAATTTCAAGATACAAGTTGTAAATACATTGTTAAGGGGGGGAGGAGCTTATCTGAGTGTGGTAGCCAATGAATGGAACGTATTGGGGGGGGGGGGCGGGGCTAAAAGAGAACAACAGGTCACATGCTAAAGGTGCACATGATGCTAGAAGAGAACGACAATGCACATTTGTGGCAAGCACTGAAGCTATTGACTTTTAAATATAGATCGAAAACTAATTTCTTTAGAACTACTTTATGTGCTTAATGTGTTGTTGTTCCCCGGCACCTCCGATTAGAACTGTTGGCTACGTATGGTGCAAAAGAAGTTCAACATACATAGATACAAAGATTAACAGGCAGAATGAGAAAGCAGATTGATCTAGATGAAGTAGTGATCAAGTGGCTGGGTGGCTTGCATATTGACTTTTAATCGCAAACACAAGACAAAGAAGATGGGCTACAAGTTCTCTCCCTCGATTGTTATTACCCAAAACCTACTAAAATAACGCTTTTAAACACAACTAAGATTTTTAAACAACACATAAATATGAAAAATAATACCTAAGTATGTATGTTAAACTTCTTTCGCACTGTATATAGCCAACCGTGATAATCGAAGCTGCGGGGGAAGGACAACAAACTAAACACAAAAAGCAGTTCTATAGAAATTAGTTTTTTTTTATCGAGATGACTTAAAAGTGCATAGCTCAAGGGGCTTCCTAACATTGGAAGAGCGTTCCAGACGGCCGCAGAAACGCATCTGAAAACGCGAAATGCAGTGGCCGTCTTTGTTCGATGGTGAGCCAAAAGCTGCCGCGGGGATGACCAGAGTTCTCGTGAAGGTCTAGACAGGCAATTAGGTCATTAGAAACAAACATTTTACACTGCAATGTACTAACCAGAAATTGTGGCGCACTTTGCGTGAGCTGTTGCTGCAGTGAGCTTGCTGAGGGGCCGGAGGGGTTACTGGGAGGGTGAGGGAAGGGCATCTGCTTGGCTTGTAAACAAGTGGTGACGTTACAAAATGCGGCAGGCAGGCAAACGGCCTGCAACCGGACATAATACACGTGCACGGACAAACGACAACGTACATTTACTGCAAGTAATTGTCTTGATTCTAGATTTGAAGCTTTCGTGACTGCAAGGATTCATACTCTTAGTTTTTTCGGTAAAGTCACGTAAGTTTCGGAGGCAACACAAGTCTCCGTCATCAAGGTGGGACCGTCACATTTTCTGTATACAGCAAATCCGGCAGTGACAGAGACTTGTGTTGCCTCCGAAACGTCGTGATTTTTATTATTTTATTTTTATTAATTTTTATTTCATTTTTTACCTATATGACTTTATCGAAAAAAACTAAGAGTATGATTGTCTTGAGGTTTTTTTTAACCAAAAAATATTATTTACTTATAAAAAAAAATAACGAAACAAACGAAAACAGTGTTCATGACCAACGTAATAACGAATCATCTTAAATCTAACGTAAATCAGGGTAGAGTACATCTGAATCTGAGCGTTGAGCAGCTAAATGTCATTTCTTTCAGCTTGTGGTTTAAATGCGTATGATGCATGAAGTGTACCGTCATCCGCAAATGAGTGGATCACACTGTGAGCTATTAATAAACAGAAAAGCACATATAGCTGGAAACTAAACAAAGAATTGTGGAATGCCAAGATACATTCTGAAAGTATCAGACTGGGTACCTTCAACTTCAAGAAGTTACCAATGACACAGTAGATTCAACATCATATTAGCTTGGCAGGTATTGCACGATGCTAGACATTCAATTTTTTAGAAATGTCAAGGGCTATGGTGGTAGCCTCCAAAATGTTCAAGATTGAGCTCCAAATATGATCATATTCATGATTATATGGTGAAAGTGATTTTAATTGTAACACAGCTGCTGCTGCTGCTGCTGCTGATGATGATGATGAAAGTGGTTATTGTACTGCTGCTTGTGCTATTTTTGCTGCTAATGCTGTTGATGATGACGTTGATGATGCTGCTAATGCTTTTATGGATGATTATGACAATGATTGATGTTGCTTCCGATGATGATGATGATGCAAACACCCTCCCAACAACCCACTCACACAGATTTGGTATCTGCTTCACGCCCCCCTCACTCAGGTCGTCCACATCATGAATCTTATTTTAAATGAATCACCAATCATTCTCTCCCAGGAGGGCATAGGGGTTGACAGAGGAGGTGACAGAGGAGCTCAGCAGGAGGAGGTTGAGGGACAGGGGTGGGCCCCTCATGAAACACGAAGCCAGGCCACGATGCCAAATCAAGGGTGATTTGATTCACATTTCAAAGGCTGCGCCAAGTGCCAGAGATAAACATGCCCCGCTCACAAGCTCATGGGGCAGCATATGACAAGGGGGAACCTCGCCTCCCCACCCTTTCTCCATGCATCCACACATAAATCTGCTTGTCCGTTCTTCCCTCCTTCCCTCTATCCATCCACCCCTGCGTCCGTGCATTCCCTCTTCCCTCCCACCCGTAACCTCTGCTGTTAGGAGTAGAGGTTAAGATCACTGCCGTAACGGAGAGGAGTCGAATTGCCGAGAACAACTCCTGTCCCGCACCCTGCGAATACCACCCCCTCCACCACCAAAAAACGCACCCTGTCCACCCACTACCCAACCCCCCCCCCAATAAGCCAATAGAGACAAAGAAAAACCACGCTGGCACATTGATCTCTACCACCCCCTGGCGACAGTAATCAGAGAGGGGGCATTGCGAGGGGGCATGAGGGCACGGGGGAGGTGCATTTGGAGAGAGAATTGCGAGGAGGGGGGCACAAGGGAGCAGCATTGGGAGGGAGGGGGGGTATTTGGATGAGGGCAAAGGGAGTGGAAGCATCGTGAAGAGGGCACAGGGGAGGGGGAAGGGGGAATTGGGGGGTGGACCCTGGGGATGAGGTTAGGGGGGGGGATAATTGGGAGAGGACGGGTGGGGGGCTGGGTATTGTGCTTAAAAGCCATGCCCATAGGGTGGGCCACACACACTCCCTACCCTCTGTTTCTGGGTGAGTGTGGGCGAGTGTTGAGTGTGTGTAAGGTGAATGTCATCTTTGTCAGTCAGCCCGTAAGCACCTGGGTCTGTCTGTCTTGTGACCTCCTGCCAGGGAGCCTTCGACACTTCACGTGGCCTCAGAGTGCACCTAGACTGGCACAAGTGTTGTGATGTCACCGCCACTTAAGTGCGAGTGGCAGCTGTGGTTGTTGGAAGCTGGTGTGTGTGTGTGGGTGTGACTGTGGACGAGTGTGCGCTGAGTTTATGGTGTGTTAGGTGAGGGTGAGTTTGCAGCGAGTGTGCTAAATGCAATGGAAATAATGAGTCTGTGGAGAATCTGGTGTGTGGTGGTGAGGGTGAGTTAGTGGTGAGTGTGATGTAAAGGGTGAGTTAGCTGTGTGTGTGGAGGGGTGATTTAGTGGTGAGTGTCGTCTGTGATGGAATGATCAATTAGTGGTTCGTTTGTGAGATTGATAGAGTGTAATAGGTGCGCGCTCACCGAAATTTCCACACGTCTGTACGGCCATATAGTATTTCTGTGTCTGTGTGTATGTGCATAAATATTTGTATGCGTATCTATTTTTTGTATGTATCATCGCGTGACCATGAGTGATGGTGACGGTTGGGGGAGACCTTCATCCAGTTGTGTATCGAGCGTGGCTGATAATGATGTGCGTGTGTGTCCGTGTGTGCGCAGGCTGTACTTGCCGCCTGCCTCTTGTTACACATCACCTGTGACCTCGTCACCAAGGAGCAAGGTAAGACCGGCCAGTGCTATTCTCGGACCAGGGTGTATTCTCACGCTCACGCTCCCTGCTTCACAATCGCCACTAAGTCTAACGATGATTTTGTGATGCTGCTGATGATATTGATATTGATTATGCTGATGGTCGTAGACACGATGATGCTTTTGTATTTTTTAAAATATTTAACCTCAAAATTTACTACCCCTTTTGATGGAATTTTTTGTTTGCAACGGTGTACAGGGGTGTCAATTTAGACAGATATTGGTGATGATTCTGCTGCTGCTAGTAATTATTTTAATAACGCTGTTAATGTTGATGATTTTGCTGCTGATAATTCGCTTTTAACATAGTGCCCTTTATGTATGGGCATCTCAAGACGCTCATAATAACTTTGATGATTAATAGTCTGCTGCTATTCCTGCTCTGTTGCTGCAGCTGTTAACAATGATGCTGCGTGTAGACATAGCTTTCAATAATGTATAACACTTTGTCACTCCAAGCCGTATCGGTTATGGGGGTTGTATGACTCGTACGCTGGTCAACGCCAGTTGGTAAAGTGATGGGAAAAAGTCCCAGGATCAGTTCAGATATCACGCGCCACTGTTGCAGCCGTGGCAGGGAATCGAACTTGGGTCCAAAGCACAATGCGCACACCACTGCATTACCGCTCTGCCCGATGCTGATTTTTAAGCTATTTACGATGACGATGGCGATAAGGCTGCTGCTGCTGCTGCCGATAATGGTGATCACGATGATGATCATAATGCATCTGCTGCTGATGATTACGATGCCAATGCTGATAATGCTAATGACGACACTAATGCTTTTACTTGTGAAACCGCTGCTTATTATGATACTGATGAAGCTTATGAGTGTGATGTATCTGCTTTTAATGATGCTTCTGCTTTTGATGATGCTTCTGCTGATGGCGATGCTGCAGCATATTGTTACGATTGCTATTTAGCTGATTTTGATAATGCGTCTGCTGATGATGATGTTGCTAATAGTGATGCTCATAATGCTGCTGCTGGCAATACTTAAGCTTATAATGCTGTACTATGAGACCTCCTTTACCAGTGGCAAAATATAGTAGTAGGTTTTTACCCTTTCAACTGGTACAAAAACTGACACCTTTATACAAGGCATCATGTTTGCAATAACCACAACACAAGCAGTCAAAATGCAAACAAAAAGAAACAACTCTGATAATGATAATGATATGCACTTTCCTTGAAGTTGATTGGTCCACACCCGAGACAGCTTTTTCTGTATAAAGGTGTCAGTTTTTGTACCAGTTGAAAGGGTAAAAACCTACTACTACTTATAATGCTGGTTATGATAGAAAAAATGCTGCTGCTACTTGTGATGATGCGGCTGATGCTGCTACACCCTCTAGGATGGCTGACCTGTCGGAGTTTGGGGAGGCGGCGCCCTTCCTGCGCAAGTCGGATATTGAGCGGCTGGAGGCCCAGACGCGGCCCTTCGACATGAAGAAGAACGTCTACGTCAATCACCCCAAGGTCGAGTTCATCAAGGCCCTCGTGCAGAGCGTGGACGGCGGCAAGTACACCGTGGAGACAGCGGATGGCCAAGTGAGCTGCACGCACGCACATAGACACACACACCCATAGATGTCCACAAAAGCTCACAAAAAGATTCCCCGTAAAGCCTTCAAAAAGGCAACTGCTGTTAGGGAGCACACCTATGAAGGCCAGAACGGCACACGAGGAGGCAGGTGGCTCGCACTACACCCGACCGCCTTTGTCTCCCCAGTGCCAATGTTTACACACCGCACCAGTTGTCTACACACACTCAGACAAAGATCCCCCGTGTAGCCTTAACAGACTGTAGGGGCAAGTGCTGTTAGCGAGCACCTACAAAGGCCAGATACACGAGGGGGTGGGTGGCCAGCACCACGCCTGACCGCCTGTCTCCCTAGTGGCAATGCTTACACACCGCACCAGGTACTCATTTGAGGCTGAGTCGACCTAGGAGAGGCTCGGGACCGGTTCAGATAATCATCACCGGTGTTGGCCGTGAGCAGGAATCGAACTCGGGTCGTCAGATTCATAGCGCAGCGCGCTATCGCTCCCCACATGTACACTTAGTAACATGCGTAGATAATACATACTCTATATAGACACAAGCGTTGATGCATAGTCAGGGACAAGCAATCCCTCATCAATTCATGTCATACACCCAACCCTAATTATTCTGACCCTCTATTTTAATTCAGAACATTCTTTACCCCTACAATACTGCCAGACCAGACTGCATTGCTCCAATGTCTAAAAATAGATGCCAATGCTCTCAGCACCTCCAATACTAAATCTGTTTCTTATCTTATCTTCTTATTATATATTTATAGAATGCCTTAGCTCATGGTGCGTTTCATTTATCAAAACGTTCCACCTCAATACCCATTGATTTTAAATTGGCACGTTTGTTCTTTACATAAATTAAAATAACCCATCCAATTACTGGTCTATCTCTAACCTCTGTATGTTGTCTAAACCTGGTTCCGAAACAGTTAATCAACGGTCTAGTGTTATGTAAAACTCAATTTCGATCTATGTTTAGACCCAAGTGTATTCCAACATATATGTATACACACCTTGATAATAGGCACATCTGCTCAACAATATTCATAGCCTTGGTTAAGACATATCATTCATCATCACATCCTCTGTACCAGGTGATTGGATTCTGGCCTTTGTGAAAACGTAACAGATTGGCACTTAATTTACTTAGATGGCAGAACACTATGTGCAACACTGGGCAATCTTATTCCAACGTCACTCCACTCTGCAAAGGTGTTGCACAGGATTATGTGCCAAGTCCTATTCCATTCCCAATCGATATAAATAGTACAGCATCAAACCATCTCGTAAAATTCGCCTTCATGCCGATGCTCTATACCCTAGGATCTTCATTAGATAATATAAAACTAACATTAAAAGATTACTTTACAGCCATTCAAAATAGCGTAATGGTCTTCAAACTCCAGCTGAATGCAAACACCCGACCAAGAGTGTTAGTTTCTGAGCCACAATGCTACAGCAGCTCAGAGCCATTTTACTATGTCCATAACCACACTAAAGTGCAATAATTGAAAACGCTTTCCTCATACAATACCTGGACATCTGGCTCGATTCTCATCTCAACTTCCATCCAATAAAAAAAGAAAGAATGATAAAGAACAATGGCCATAGTGACTTTGTATAAAAACAAATGGTGACTATACTGGTAGGAACCAGTGGGTTCTTACCAGTATAGTCTCCACATACAAAATTTTTATTTATTTTATTATGCAACCCATCAGCCGCGTGGCCTTCTGGGAGTGCATCATTTCAGCAGCATTGCTTCAAGACGAGCAAACTCTGGACAGGTTGCAACATTCAGCAGCACAGTCAGGCTTGATTGAATCAATGCTGAACTGCTGATCTTTCAAGAAAGATCTCTCTCTTTACGCTATGGGTCCTAGTTTGACGCAAAATGATATAGTGATGCATAACACAAAGTAATCATAAGCGTCGTTGTGGAGAATACACATAGAACACAACACATGGGCAACGTCTTCTTCACAGACAATATGTCTTTACATGTTAGTATAACGGTCGCCCTTTGTCTGATTACAGTTTCTGTAACTTAATTGTAATTGGGCTATAATCAGTCTATAAATAATCTGCACAAGTCGACTTCTGCAACAGGCAATTTATCAATCAGCATGAATTTTTGCTTGCCCAGTATTTTAGATTTCTGATGTGGCAACACATTTGGCTTTTCACCGATTTCTATTTCCTTCATTGAGGTACTTTCTTTTATTTTACTTTTGCCATTATGGTGACCCAGGTCACTCTTGCAAATAAGATCATGTCCTGATCTCCTGAGTTCTCACCTGGTTTAAATGAAATAAACTTTAATGGCCATAAATGCATGCACACACATGTTAGACACACATCCAAAACAGAGATCCCCTGTAAAGGCTTAACATACTGTAGGGGCAAGTGCTGTTAGCGAGCACCTATGAAGGCCGGCACGGCACGCGAGGGGGTGGGTGGCCAACACCACGCCCGGCCGCCTGTGTCTCCCCAGTGGCGATATTGACACACTGCACCAGGTACTCCTTTGAGGCTGAGCTGACCTAGGGGAGGACCGTTTCAGATAATCGTCACTGGTGTTGGTCGTGTCCTTCACGAGCCTCCTCCATAGTACACACACCTCCGATGAGCATGGTTGGTTAGGTACGGTGCGAAAGAATTTCAACATAGAAGGGAAGTAATAAAATAAAATTTTAAAAAATAATAATAAAAAAAGAATAATAATTATAATTTTTGTTATTACTTCCCTTCTACGTGACTTTACTGAAAGAACCAAGATGAATCCCTGCAGTCACGAAAGCTTTAAATCGAAATTTCAACATACATCCATAGACGTAAATATTCGTTTCTTCCATGACTGTGCACGCAGACGGTCGTCGTGAAGGACGTGGACGTGATGCAAATGAATCCGCCCAAGTTCGACAAGATCGAGGACATGGCCATGCTGACCTTCCTCAACGAGCCGTCCGTGCTGTTCAACCTCAAAGAGCGTTACGCCGCATGGATGATCTACGTGAGTGCCTCGATATTGGCCGTATCGTTCGTACTAGCAGAGGCACCGGAAAGTAAGATGTACCCCAAACTTGTGTTCGGTGTCAGTAAATTTATACGAATCTGGTAACACACACACATCAATTGGAACATGTGATGCACCTCCAACTTATGCTTTAAAATACTGGAAAAAACGTGCCATACATCCAAAATATAAGGTACAGTGTTACATATATTAATGCCGCCCTCTTTGAAATATGGTATCATCACTTTCACAACTTTTAATGACCTGTTGAGAAGTAAAAGAGTCATAGAAATCAGTGGGTAATTATAAATAGATCACCCCACTGAGGTTTCATGAGCCTCTATGGGGTGATCCGTGTATAGATTCCCCACGGAGAATCATTCGACTTCAGTGGGAAGTCTGATCTCCGGGAACGGGTTTCCAAATTTTCTGAGCATTTCTGAGAAGTCTTGGGGAGGGCAAACCCCTTACCCACAATACCATCATGAGACAGTGTGGGGTTGAGTCTGCTAGGGCTGTGAGGAAGTAGCCACTCTCTGTAAGCGATGTGTCATCTACAGAGGAAGTATGAAGAACAATCCAGAACCTGAGACCAGGTAAAGCACCAGGCATAAGGGACATCCCAAGTGACCGACTGAGGAAGGGTTCCGATTAGGCTGCCCAATATGGCATAATTGCAACCATCTGGACAATGGTATGGGCACCGCAAGATTGCAAGTATATCCTGGTGGCACCCATTTTTAAGAAGAGGGACCTCATTGATTGTGTGTCGGAGAAGGCCCTGGCAAAGATTATTCAACATCACATTGTCAGGCACACTTAAGAGAGGCTTGCAGAGCTTCAATGTAATTTCAGACCAGAACGGTTCTGCACAAGCTTCCATATTTGATGTTCAAATGCTGCAACATGAGTGTGGATTTTGAAGACTACCTACATCTCTGCTTTTCTGACCTAATCAAGGCCAAATCTTTGGGTTATTCATGCTTTCCGAGTCCCTGACCCTCAGCTCACTATCATTAAAGACATTCATGATGGTGGGCAGGCTCATGCAAAGCTGCATGGCCAGGAGTCAAAAGGCATTTCCTGTTCAACTTGGGGCTAAATTGTTGTGACACGGGCTAGAGAATAAATGGGAAAATGTGTCATGGACGTATTTGGAGCTGAGTAGTACCAGCAGTGTCAAGATCGGCCTCTTCGGAGGAGGCTCGTGAAGGATGCTGGGCGGTTGGAGGCATCTTCCCTCCAACAACAATTGGAGGTGGAGGAATGATGCTCACGAGCAGAGCGCGAGGTGGCTAAAACCCATCAAATCGGCACGGTGGAGAACACAAGTGGTGCAAGTTCCAGCCATTTCAGTCAGCTAACTCATAACACCTGGGTGTGTTCGGTGACCTCCTGCCAGCTATCTTTCCACACTTAACGCTGCTCAAAGTTCACCTAGCCTGGCACAAGTGCTGTGGTTACATCACCGTCACTTAGTCGCGAAATGATGCCTCTTTTTGTTGTGTGTGTAACCATCTGTAGACGTACTCGGGGCTGTTCTGTGTCACGGTGAACCCCTACAAGTGGCTGCCCGTGTACAGCTCTCAGTGCGTAAACGCGTACCGGGGCAAGAAGAGGCAGGAGGCCCCTCCACACATCTTCTCCATCTCCGACAACGCGTACCAGTACATGCTCACGGGTACGTGTGCGCACGCATGTACACAAAAACCTGCGCATACACGTGGACATCAGTACATGCTCACTGGCACATGTACACACATACACTCCAGTACACATACACATTGATGGCTCACTACAGTACGTCTATTTCTCTGCCAGTCTATATCTTTGTGTTTATCTGTGCACTCTCCACGTGTCTGCCTCTGTCCATTTTCCTAATGGCGTGCCCGCTTACTTGTCTCCCTGTCGCTCTGATTTACATTCCACAGACAGAGAAAATCAGTCCATTCTCATCACGTGAGTCTAAATGCATTCAAGAGCATGATTTTGAGTTGTAGGCAAATCTTGGGTGGAATGCCTGTGATTGCCTGTCGGTCTACCTGCTTTGCGTGTCTGAGTGCGTAACTGACCGTCTGTGTCCATCTCCCTGTGTCCGTCTCTGTGATGGACAGTGGCGAGTCCGGCGCAGGGGAAAACGGTGAACACGAAACGTGTCATCCAGTACTTCGCGTCCATCGCCGCGGCGGGAACCAAGCGCGACGCCAGCAAGGTGGGGGGGACACGGGGAGAAACGGAGAGACAGAAAGACACAAAGAGACGTTAGGATGTTTGGCAAATTCCACTCAGGAGAGTTTAGCTTCTTGTAAGAGATAACTAGAGAACCGGGAGAAAAGCCCACTAGACATACAAAGGAGCAATGTACTGCTGATGAGACCCAGAAGGTCAAAACTGGTCCAGTTTTCATGCTCAAACAATATTGGCCTTGAAAGCCAATAGGCCGATGGACTAAGATATATTTTATTAACGAGTGTTTTTTACCACAGTAACACGTGATTTTGTGTCCGTCAAAATTCCACACAGATGGATTCCATCACCCATTGTATTGAGTGCGTGAACTCGTGTGATCTTCGCAGGGGACCCTAGAGGATCAAATCGTCTCGGCCAATCCCGCGCTGGAAGCCTTCGGCAACGCGAAGACACTCAGGAACGACAACTCCTCGCGCTTCGTGAGTCTCCCCGATAGGGTTGACACTTATCGTGACGCTTGAGTCTGACCTTGATAACCTTTACTCTGACACCCGACCCCTTCCAGTCCCCGTGTGTCACTGTGTAACGTATGCATGCATGCATGCGTGCATTGGGATGCGTGTGGGCGTGCTGCCGGCTACATCGCTCCCTCGTGTGCCGTGCTGGCCTTCAAAGATGCTCGCTAACAGCACTTGCCCCAACAGTCTGTGAAAGGCTATACGGGAGTTCTTTATCTTTGTCTTCGTGTGTGCGTGTCCAGGGCAAATTTATCCGCATTCACTTCGGAACGACCGGAAAACTGGCGTCCGCCGACATTGAAACCTGTGAGTTCACGCAGTTCCGTTGATCGTTCTCATATTGGGTCGGGCTCAGATCTATTGATGGTGCCCAGCCATTAGGGGCATCGTTTATACCCATTTGCCTTCTTATTTACTTATCTGTATACCAAGTATGCCTGTCTGTCTAAGCATCTGTATATCTGCCTGTTTACCTATCTGTATGTCTACTTGTCTGTCTTTCCATCCATCAGATCTGTTGGAGAAGTCTCGGGTTACGTTCCAGCTGAAGGCTGAACGCAACTACCACATCTTCTACCAGATCCTGAGCCAGAGGAAACCTGAGCTCCTGGGTACAAACAACAACACGACCACTACAACTATCATTCTCACCACCACCACCACCATTGTCATCATTATTCACTCTTTCTGCTCGATCACTCTCTCCTCACTTGCCTCTCCCCCTCTCCCCCTCTCTCTCCCTGCTCTCCTCTCCCCAGACATGCTGCTGGTGACCACCAACCCGTACGATTACTCCTTCATCAGCCAGGGCCAGGTCACCGTGGCTGGATTGGATGACGGGGACGAGCTCATGGCTACGGATGTGAGCTTCCTCCTCTGCATTTTTTCCACTGGAGAGAGCATGAGTTGCTCTGTCAGTTCATGTGTCAATTATGCTCCTCATCATATGCTCTGCAACTACAGGTAGTCCTCGACTTACGATGGAGATGCGTTACGACGACCCCATCGTAAGTCGAAAATATCTTAAGGAGTCTTAAAGAATGGTGATAATTTAGCAAAACAGAGCAATTTACAGTACCGTACTGTATAAACTATATACTGTTTGTATTTATTAATTACAATACTGTATTGCACAGTAAAATTAAAAGTAAAAAAACAAGGTAAATTCTTAGCCTACCTATATGAACTTTAATTTCATAGAAATTTTTTTCAGGAAACAATCCTATCTGCTATATAAACTTTGAACATGCATTGAACACCGAGACAACTTAACTCCGTCGAGCGCTGGTGAGAGTGAGGCATCACACAAGGCGGGAGATGCGTACATCCCGGCAGCGTCCCAACATACAACTATCGTACCTCGTACGCTGCTGCGTTTGCCTGCCGCGTGAAATGTTAAATATTTTACAATTTTGTCATATCGCCATCGCCATCGTAAGATCGAAATACCGTAAGTCGGAGCATCGTAAGTCGGGGACTACCTGTACTCACTTCTGCTCCTACTCTCTTGATGTCTAGCCAGTGATTGTGTTCACAGATGTGATAGCAGTGTTGATGGTGGCGATGGTTGCGCCTCTCCACAGAGTGCCTACGACATCCTGGGCTTCACAGCGGAGGAGAAAGCGAGCGTGTACAAGCTGACGGGCGCCATCATGCACTTCGGAAACATGCACTTCAAGCAGAAGCAGCGAGAGGAGCAGGCGGAGGCAGACGGCACTGAGGGTACGGCGACGCACAGGGACACATGAAGACTTGCCGAGACATGCACACATTGGTAGCCACTGGAACGGGGGCGTGCGCGGATAAGCGGAGACACATGGGGACATATGAACATGGAGGGACGCCAGGGAGGACAAACAGGGCCACTCGGGAATAACGGAGAAGAGTAAAGTTGTTGACGTTTTATGAAAGTTATCAGAATGAGAAATTACACACGTCCAGTTTGGAACACTCAAGCTGCCGAGTCGTGAGATGACGTAAAACATTATGAAGTCTTCACCTTGGCAAGAAACTTAAATGGTTTCAGTTTATCTGCAAGCGTTCGACGACCGTTTCATTATTTTAGCCGTCTTTTCTTTAGGGTACCTCCCAAAACACAATACAAATTTACAATAGAATTGTTTTCGTATGGCATCATCTTTACTTAAGTTATCACGATCCTCTGTTAAGACAGATATGTCGCCAATAGGACAATTTGGATTAATATGAGAAAGAAGAACACGTAGGACTGTCCATTTCCCAACCCTCATAGTCCAAACAACATCGACTATAGGCAGTAGTGGCACAGATGGACAGAGCTTATGCATGAACATTGTTTAGTTGTATTATTTGGTTCTTTCGGTAAAGTCACATCAATAGGATCAAATTAATACAAATTTAACAAACAAAAAACTACGACGTTTCGATCACAACACAAGCAATCGATGACGATCACAACACAAGCAATCGATGACGATCACAACACAAGCAATCGATGACGATCACAACACAAGCAATCGATGACAATCACAACACAAGCAATCGATGACAATCACAACACAAGCAATCGATGACAATCACAACACAAGCAATCGATGACGATCACAACACAAGCAATCGATGACGATCACAACACAAGCAATCGATGACAATCACAACACAAGCAATCGATGACAATCACAACACAAGCAATCGATGACGATCACAACACAAGCAATCGATGACGATCACAACACAAGCAATCGATGACGATCACAACACAAGCAATCGATGACAATCACAACACAAGCAATCGATGACGATCGCTTGTGTTGTGATCGAAACGTCGTAGTTTTTTTTTATTTGATCCTATTTACGTGACTTTACCGAAATAACCAAAGAATATGAATTTCTGCAGTCACAAAAGCTTTAAGTCAAGATTTAGTTGTTTATGTTTACATCTTTACTTGGTATCCTTGTTCACGAGTTTCTTCTTTGAGGACTAGCCCTTTCTTGGATGTAATTGTGTTTTGACGTGCAATTGTACAAGTGTTGGTACAGTATGTACAATTCCATGATTATTATTATTTCACCTTCATTGAAAATTATCGAATACAAAGACTCACGTGGGGGGGGATCTTTGCCGTTGACAGACGCCGACAAAGCGTCGTACCTCATGGGCCTCAACTCGGCAGACCTCATCAAGGGCCTGTGCCATCCCAGGGTCAAGGTCGGCAACGAGTACGTGACCAAGGGTCAGAACGTGCAACAGGTGGGCGGCTCCTGGTGGCGACTTCCAACGAAAGCGAAACCCCCATTCACTGTACACACCGACTGTGCCATCACCATTGTCACAAGCATCATCAGTTATCATAAAGATCATATCCATCAACAGACATGTGTTTAGAGTATTTGGCAGCGATAAATGTTCACTTCGTTGAGCGATCATTTGTGGCCAAATCGCTTCTGAAAACGAGCTAGACAGCTCAGTGGGCCTTGCCTGGTAAAATAAGTTTTAGTTTTTAAATGGTTAAGTTTATTCATTCGTTTATGACAATACATTTTTATCATTTGCTTGACATCATTATGAGCATCACATTTGTATTTTTATTGTTTGATGTACTGTGAAATGTTTGCACTATGGAATATTTCCCCATGTCTCCTCTGGTTAAAACTTTATTTAAATAAAGGCAATAAATCAATCAGGGGTGTAATAGACAGCCTGGGCCCCTCTCTCCCCTACCACAAGTATTCACTGCTCAGTCACTACACCACCCTGGCAACCCCTGCCTTCCCCCCTCCCCCTAACTAATATTCCCCCCACCCACCGACCACCATGGACTTCCGTGCCCCACCATTATATTTACCCACCGGCCGCCGCTGCGTCTGCCAGGTGTCCTATTCTGTCGGTGCACTGGCAAAGTCCGTGTACGAGAAGATGTTCAACTGGATGGTCGTGCGCATCAACCAGTCGCTGGAGACCAAGGCCCCGCGACAGCACTTCATCGGTGTGCTGGACATCGCCGGCTTCGAGATCTTCGACGTGAGGACACCACCGCCAACAACGCCACCTGCCAGCACCGCATTCATGAAAGACAAAGATCCCCCGTATAGCCTTAACAGACTGTTTGGGCAAGTGCTGTTAGCGGGCACCTATGAGGGCCGGAGATGCACACGAGGGGGTGGGTGGCCAGCACCACGCCCGGCCTCCTTTGTCTCCCGAGTGGCAATAGTTTTACACATTGCACTAGGTACTCAAATGAGGCTGAGTCGACCTAGGGGAGGCCCAGGAATGGTTAATATAATCGTCACTCATGTTGGCCTTGAGCGGGAATCGAACTCGGGTTGCTGGGTTCGTAGCACAGCGTGCTAACCGTTGCACTACCTCTCCCCACCATCTCCATCATCACCACTACTACCACCACCAACATTGCCACAACCCTCACCATCCACAACCTGCCAGCATCACTCACCACCGCCACTGCAAATGCCATCGCCATCGCCTCAACCATCACCACCACCATCATCACCGTGTTTAGCATTGCCACCACCAACACTACTACCATCGCCAATACCACCACCTGCCTGTCTGTCCATCCGTGCACTCACCCATCCATCTGTCCCTCCGTACGTGTGTCCTTCTGCCGGTGTGCGCAGTTCAACTCATTTGAGCAGCTCTGCATCAACTTCACCAACGAGAAGTTGCAGCAGTTCTTCAACCACCACATGTTCGTGCTGGAGCAGGAGGAGTACAAGAAGGAGGGCATCGAGTGGACCTTCATCGACTTTGGCATGGACCTGCAGGCCTGCATCGAGCTCATCGAGAAGGTTGCTACTGCTGATGATAACTGATGAAGCTATTCATGATAGCAGTGGTGGTGATGATGATGCTGATGATAAAGCTACTGCTACAAAAGCTGCTGCTGCTTGCTGCTGCTGCTACTGCTGTTCTGCTGACAATGATGATAATGGCGGTGATGATGCCTCTGCTTCTTTTACTGCTGATGATAGCAATTGGCGACAATAACGATGACAACATCTTTTGCCTGCATGCTCCGCAGCCCATGGGCATCATGTCCATCCTGGAAGAAGAGTGCATGTTCCCCAAGGCGTCCGACCAGAGCTTCAAGGCAAAGCTGTATGACAACCACCTGGGCAAGTCCGCCAACTTCCAGAAGCCAGCGCATCGTCAAGGGAAAGCTGGAGGCGGACTTTGCGTTGATGCACTACGCCGGCGTGGTGGACTACAACATCTCGGGTTGGCTCGTGAAGAACAAGGACCCGCTCAACGAGACCGTGGTGGGGCTCTATCAGAAGTCCTCACTCAAGCTGCTCTCCTTGCTGTTTGTGAACTACGCTGCTGCAGATGCTGGTGAGCGAGTCACGACACAAATTTCTCACCCAATTGTTCTGTGACCAACTCATTCGCTCACTCATTTGGACGCCGACTTCCTCATTTTCTCAATCGATCGCTCACTTAAATTTCGATTTAAAGCTTTCGTGACTGCAGGGATTCATCTTCTTGGTTCTTTCGGTAAAGTCACATAGAAGGGAAGTAATAAAATAATAAAAATAAAACATAATAAAATAATTCTCACTATTTTATGTTTTACTTTTATTCTTTTATTACTTCCCTTCTACGTGACTTTACCGAAAGAATCAAGAAGATGATCGCTCACTTATTTGGTCCCTTGCACACTCGCTGACCTGCTCAATCTTTGGCTCGTTTACCTGCTTACCCACTTACTCACACTCATGGTTACTCACTCTCCCACACACTGACACTCACCCAACCACTCGCTCTCTCATTTTGTCTCAATGTGCTGCTCCCAACATATCATCCATAACACGGTTTATTCCCAATTGATCTGCCATAAGTCAGCTCTGAGGATGATCTATCGGAGTTTTACTTCAACAAAGCAACAGAAAAAATCAACTTCTGGCCTTTGAGTACAGGGTATGTAGAGAATGTTAACAAGTTCATGACAGGATAGGGGAACCAACTGGGAAGACAGCGATAGAATGTAGCAGGAAAGTGATGTCAATGTAATCAGGAAGAAGATATTGTAATGGGTGGGAAACGTGTGCATAGGATGGAGGAGGGCAGGTTACCGTGATAAAGACCAGCAGCAGCTTGAAGGCCGGGTGTCGACTTTACAACAACTACAGGATGTAAGGGGGAAGTAGGGGAGTGATGAGACGTCATGATGACCTCTTACCCTTGACCTGGATCTGTGTGCACTTCGCTCCATCTCTCCCGAACACCAGACACTACCAAGAAGGGCACCAAGAAGAAGGGTTCCTCCTTCCAGACGGTGTCAGCTCTGCACAGGGTGAGCAATCGCAGAAGGGGTTTTAATTACAATTAAAATCATTACAATTATTTTACAGTTTGTATACTTTTGATTTAAAGCTTTCGTGACTGCAGGGATTCATATTCTTGGTTCTTTCGGTAAAGTCACGTGGAAGGGAAATAATACAATAATAAAAATAAAACATAATAGAAATTATCACGACGTTTCGACTGCAGCACAAGCAATCATCATCAGGTGTGAAAACCACAGCAAGAAAATTTGAAAAAAGTGGCGGTTTTTTCTTAACGTCAGCACCACGGAGAGCAACTGGCGGTTGAGAAAAAAACGGCACTTTTTTCAAATTTTCTTGCTGTGGATATCACACCTGATGATGATTGCTTGTGTTGCAGTCGAAACGCCGTGAGAATTTTATTGTTAGATATTTGTATTATTTTATTATTTCCCTTCTACGTGACTTTACCGAAAAAAACAAGAATAGTTTGTATACTGTTATGATAATTATGACCTTTTTAATTTTACGGGCGTATGTCAATATACGTTTATCAAAATATATTTCCCGATTAGATAACCTAAGATATGTAAATAATACAATATTTTCTGACCCAAAACCTACTCAAATATTTTTTTCAACACAACTAACATATTCTCATGCATAAATACGGAGAATTATAACTAGACAAGCAATTAGAAACAAATACTGTACACTGTAATTTACTCATAACAAACTGTGGTGCATGCCGTGTGAAGTGTTGAAGGGTGGAGGGGTTTACTGGGAGGGTGAGGGAGGGGCAGTAGGACATCTGTGATAAAAGAGCTTTATAGCTCATCGTATTCCTTCAGTACGAATAAATATTCTGACTCAGTGGGAGCGTCTGCACAGTCGTTTGAACTACGCAGCATGGCTTGTAAACAAGCAGTGAGGCTACAAAATGCAGCGGCCAGGAAAATGGCCTGGGACCATATATTTACGATAAGTATTATGATTTTTTTCCACCAAAAATATAATTTAGTATAAAAAACGCAAAAATGAACCAAACGAGATGTAAACTCAAAAAAGTGTGAACTTATGACGAAATTAATAACGAATCATCATAAATCGAGTTAATGTACATCGGGGTACACCTATATAATGATCAGAACTCAATCTAATATTTGGTGATGCCCTACTTTGTTCATTAATATGGTTTCCCCTTACAGATTCTTTGATGGACGCTAAGCTTTTACTTAGTACGCTGACGCCTAGCGCCACCACTGACCTGTCGATCTTGCGCTGTGAATAGTGATGGACTTACGCACCCTCGTTCTCACCCTCGCAGGAGAACCTGAACAAGCTGATGACCAACTTGAGGTCCACGCATCCTCACTTTGTGCGCTGCATCATCCCCAACGAGGAGAAGAAACCAGGTGAGCACACACCTGTACAGAGATGACTGGTGTAGCCTACGTAGACTTGCCGGGGCAAGTGCTGTTGCGAGCACCTATTACACACACTGCCTTGCTGTGCACAGCTGGGCTCTCCCAGTCACTCAGCTGCATCCCATCCCCGCCCTCTGCGCCCCCCCCCCCCCATTTCCGTGCCCCCCAGGTGAGATGGACAACGCCCTGGTGATGCACCAGCTGCGCTTGTAACGGCGTGCTGGAGGGAATCCGTATCTGCAGGAAGGGATTCCCCAACAGGATCCTCTACGGCGACTTCAAGCAGCGGCAAGTCATCGTCATCATTAGATGCATCATCATCACCATTGTTGTCATATGTACTATGATTGTCATGATTGTCATTATCAGCTGAAGTATCATAATCATCATCGTCATCTTGTTCAGATGAAGTATCATCGTAATTATCACCATCACTAGCAGAAAGAGCACCGTCATTACATTCACAACTCCTACAACATCCCCACTACCACCATCGCTTTCATGACCATTCATTGCAATGACGATGATGTCTCTGACCCAACCACCCCCCCACCCCGCACCCCATACCCCACCCCCTCCACCACCGCACAGGTACCGTATCCTGAATCCGAATGCCGTGCCCGAGGGACAGTTCATGGACAGCCGAAAATCGGCTGAGAAGCTCCTGTCCACCCTCGACATCGACCACACGCAGTACAAGTTCGGACACACCAAGGTGCGAGAGGGCGCCCTCCTCAAATTATGATTATCACGATGATAATGATCACAACGATGATCATGAACCTGTGCCTGATTAAGCGAGTCAGTGAGTGAGTAAACGAGTGAGAAATTTCTCGCGAAATTCATGAACAGTCTATCCGGTTTCAAGAAAAAATATATTTTTGATTATTTATTTAACTGGTGCCACTTCAAATGATAATCCAAGGAAACATTCCACTATGCCAGACTGTTTTACCAAAGCTCAACCCGAACCATGAAGCTGGCATCACACATTCACGTATACTAATGCTGTGTATACTAATATGACAAAATATATTCACTCTGCCAATGGCCCTGCTTGGCCCCAACGCACAATCAGACGTCTTGTATGGCCAGCATATTAAAGTTTGGTTACAGCTCAGGTCGGGAAACGGATAGCAGATAACCACACACACAACGAGGGCTCCACAATGGCTCAGCTCGGATGTGCCAGTGGAAACGGGAGTACAAGAATCCACCGCACAACTGCCTTGGGATCTGGCAGAAGCGATGGCTACGTGTGGAATCGGAAGTTGAGTGCTTCCCTTACCTGACCCTTGGAAGGGACGCCATGTTCCTAGGTGGTTGCCACGACGATGACCCCTCACCACTGGACAATGCTGCGGTTGAACGACGTTACGTGTGCCACTCATTGCAGGGGGTTTGTGTGTTGAGCCCAGGGGTTAATACCGCGGGATGCGCTCACCAAAAGACACGGATCGCCCGCTTCACATGTTGACCATGGCTTCATTGTCTTTGAGTTGTGCGCCTTTTGGCGTCATTTGGTCCAACCCATGTGAGACTAGGCTCTAAGGAAAGCTGTCTCGGGTGTGTACCAATCAACTTCAAGGACAGTGAATACATTATCAGAGTTATGTTTTTTGTTTGCATTATGACTGCATGTATTCTGGTCTATGCAAACATGACTCCTTGTATAAAAAGGTGTCAGTTTTGTTGCCAGATAGAAGGGTAAAAAAACAATTATCATGGCGTCATGGTCAACATTTTATAATATTGCTAATAAATTACTTAATTGGGATACTCACGTAGCAACATCACCCCTTGGCAGAGTAGTGCCCACTTGCAGGCGGACGCTTCGTACACCTTGTGCCGCACAGGGACAACAGCTACCACCGGGGACTTCCCCTGCCGCAAGACACTTTCCTGGGAGGTGTATCTTAAATAGCTCGTGCAGATCATGACCCCCCACCCCCTCACCTTTAACCCGTGCAGGTGTTCTTCAAGGCCGGTCTGCTGGGCACGCTGG